TTGTTCCAGATTAATAAATACTTTTGATAGGCCTTCACAATGCAGTCGTTAGCACCCACTAAATAGAGATTCTATTTCTATTTTGTTGGTAGATTTTCTTAATGTGCGGTAAACACAAAAGTAACAGCATGAAGCATGCTGTTAAAATTTTGTGTTACAGTGATGCGCGCGCATCTTAAAATTTCACTCTCATCATTTTTTCATAACGCGCCTAAAGAAGTATAACTTCAAAAACAAAACGGCCCTTCACAAGCGATAAGCGATAGAAGGGAAACCCAGTGGTCTCGAAGTCATTTTGCAAAATCGGTAGAGCTGCCCACAAAAATCTGTATATTTGTTAGTATTACTTCCATCCCCAAAATTATTATAATAATATGACAAAAAAATACAATTTTTAATCAAATTTGTTTATTTATTATAAAATAAAGTTACATATTAATTTTTACGTTACTTTCTAACCGATTTAAAAAGGAGGTGGTTCTCAATTCGTCAGTATGTTTACATATATGTTTTGTAATTGTTGTTTGCGCAAATATCCGATAAGCGTGGGCCGACTTTGATAATTTATTTTTTGTATGTTTCAGTTTTTTGACGATATGGTCCCATATTATTTTGATGAAGATCTGATCAGTACTTCGTAGAAAAAAATGAATCAATATAATAACTATAATACAAATATTGATCCGACACGGTATGATGTCCGTTTTGACATTTGTGCGTTATATATTCTAAATTCGAAATGTTCTGCATTTGAAAGAAATAATTATTGTTCTTTGTTGTCACCAAAGACGCGCATTTAGTTATAAAATTTATCGAACCGGTAATTTTGGTGTGTAGAATTTATATTTTACAAAACTATATAAAATCATGGTCTAACTTATAATAAGGTTACGAAAATCAACCAAAACCGGCCGTTTGACAGAATCTTTACAGGATTAAGTAAATTAATTTATATAATTGCACATTATTCTTATTATTATTAAGAAATGTTATGTCATACAAATAATAACATCGAATCTCAAGTCAAAACGACACTTAAGATATTTTTTTGCTCCAAAAACTGTTACAGGAAGTTTTTGCCAGTCACTAAACTTGTATTTTATTTGACATTTCAAATGGTTTTCACACGACTGCTATAGAGTAATGTTTTCAAGAGTTCATGTACGTTGTGTTTGTCTGTAACTTTTCCCGTTTATCGCAAAAACTTTGACACGAAATTGTTTAATTATATCGTACAGAAACCTGAGATGACGCGAAGCGATAAATCACTCCATTCATTTAATATTTTCAGTCGCTTCGAAGACATGAAACCGAACAAAGCAACATTTACTAGACTTTCAAAGTATTCACGATGACATCATTTAAACGACTAACATAACAATGCGTCCTCTAAGTGCTTTAAATCATTTACAATTGAGTCTGATACTAACTTTTGCCCGCGGCTTCGCTCACGTTAGATTTGTTTGGAAATTCCTTTTTTAGTGCACCCCTAGCCACATGAGTAAAGTAACGTATACAGCATAATAGCTATATATGTATGTGTGCCAAATTTAAGCTCAATCCTTTCAGTAGTTTGTTTTTTTATATATAAATATATTTACAGTACAGATGAAATCCCTTAAGACTAACTAAACGTTTCTAAAACAATGACAATGTTGTTTTCATTTATATGTACTTACTTAATGCGATAATTTTTTTGTGGTTTTTTATTGTACTTTTCTTGATAAATGTAAATCTGTCACAATAAAAGAAAATTCCAATTTGAAACGAAGTAAGTACATTGTTATTTTATCAGAAACATAGATTTAGTACATAAAATATGATATCAGACGTATGATGATACTCATGTAAAAGTTTGGATAGGAAAAAATATACCTTTACTTAGAATAATTTGTTTTATTATGAGTATGTAGGTACTTATTATGTTTTTCATTAAACTTTTCCAACTTACCATTATTGAGGGCAGCCTAAAAATTATGAATAAAAAACTCAAAAAATGTAAAGCAGTTTCCGTGTCAAATCAAAGGTCACTGCACCGATTTAAAGGAACGATTTGAAATGTTCTAATTTATGGCACTTGGTTTTTGACAAGGTTTTGGCGCCAAATTTGCAACCAGCCAATCACGCATGCGGAGCGGTGGCGCGCGTTACGTCGTCTGCCGGCGTTTCTGCACGCAGCTTTCCGCTCACCATCCAGTATCTTTCTCCCGCGAATTTGAAGCACGTGATGCGCCTTATGAAAGCATTGGCCGTGGAATTACGTTATGTATTGCCTCTCGCCTAGTCAACGCCCTATCTGACCATTCCTTTCGCCCTTTTCCCGCGTAATCAACAATAAAACGGAGTGAAAAGTTGCACATTAAGTTGTACAAATTACTTAAACCATCAAATGGGACGAACTTAATTCGATGAAGTGAATAAAAAAAGGGCCCGTTTATTCACTTGCTGATAATTGCCTTTTCTACATAAATCACAGAAGATCGCTATGGCTATCGTTATGGCTATCGCTATAGCTTACATTTACTTCTTTCTGACCGCCGAAGGTTTTTGAAATACCCCACGCTCATTTTCTTTAATATTGTTATTACTAGTGCAAATAAAAACACACACTACGCGCTATACCAGGTACCACAGAACACAGAAACCTCTTTCTCTGTTCTGTGCCAGGTACAGATATGTCACCAGGGGTGTTTTCCCGCTTCACACGATCTACGATCGTCTATCTAGAGCCGAGGTGGTGGTCTAAAGGCTCTCGACCGAAAGAGGATCCCTTCGAGGGGAGCTGCCGTCCGTTTGGAATACTTCTAGAGGCTCACGCTACTTCTCGTTTTGGTCCCTTTAGGGTCTCATCGTCCCTTAACCCGGTAACTCTGTAAAGGTCATCTGGGTCCAGCAGCATACACACTAAAAAAAAAAAACCCCGGCATGCCGATAATTTTGTCGCCCATTGTAGTTTGTGTCCAAAGGTCTATATACGTAGGTAATCTTGCGTGACAACTTTATAGGAACCATAAGTATCAGCAATCAGTATGAATAATGGCACGAAACAACAAGAAGGTTAAATAGGTACATACATAAATCAGTGCTTAACTTGTTTGTAGTAGAAACATGATATTACTCAGCTGTATTATTATTTTAAAACGCCTCTAAGATTTCTCTAGCCATATATCAGGAACCAGTCCCAAAACCAACCCAGACATAGAGCTAAGTTAGTTCGGCTTACCAATGCTATGACCTGACTAGAATTTTTAAGTAGATAGAAGAACGGACAAAATATCGCGAAGGTAACAGATATTTCCTGGATCGTGTTTTTGCAAAATTGCGGGGTTTCTCAATACTAAATCAAATAAAACAACTATTTTAAAAACGATCTTTTAAAATATTTTGTTCATACAAAATAAAGAAAAAACGGTTTAAATTTAATGCAATTTTATCCTGATAAGGAATCACCCATTTTATTATTTATTACTTATTTATTACAGTCACAATTTTTGAAATATAGGTAGGTACCTATAGGGTTATGAGTGTTTTATCAAATTAAGGATATAGATTACCAAGAAATATACTCTCCGACAACAAGATATGACTATAAGAATTATTCTTTCTATTGCAGCTAGGTATGATTTAGAAATCAACAATTTGATGTAAAAACTGCCTTCTTGAATGGGTATTTAGATGAGGACATTTTTATAGAAATATCAGAGGGCGTGTCACTTAAAAATGATTGTGTTTTAAAACTTAATAAGTCTTTGTATGGTCTTAAGCGTGTTACATTTTAAATATAAAACAGCAAGAGAACAGTGCTGCAAAAGTAAGTGCTAAGGAATGCAGGTGCTGCCGAGACCAAATATTTTAAATCCGAAGCTCAGGATTTGAATTATTATTTGAAAAATGTTTGTCACCCATGTTATGTGTGGTCATCAAATACGAAAGTTGTTTTATCTACCACGGTCGCAGACCGAATGCTGTAGTCACTACGCCCCGTCGAGTTCCCCCTTTAGCCGATTGCGAAAGAAGGGTGTATTACGTTTTTTTGGTTAGTGTGACTCCGAAGCTATATCGGTTACAGAGCTGGGGACTTCTAAGTTGAGTAAAATTCCTGAATTATTTTATTTGACATTGACAGAATGATGCGATACTTTCTTGTCTATTTAAATTAGTCAAGAGCCTTTTTTCTTTCAAATTAGTAAAAAACTTCAAAAGCATGGATATTTATTTTTAAGGTAGAGCCATGGTATAGGCTTAGATGAGTCCCATATGCGCGTTATTATCGACGTTGTCAACTTTCTACATTACATAGTGAAAGTATAAAAAAAACTTTTTCATACAATATCATAAATATGACATATAATCTAAAAATGGTATTTAAAAAAACGACGGGTTGCACTCCGGGAGTGCCGGCAGAAGTGAAAACTTGAATATTAACGTTGTGCATTTTTGATATTTTGGAATGGTTAGGGAATCATTTGCACGAATTGCTTTAATTATCAGTATAAAAGTACTATCATTTATGCGGTAGAATATAATATTTATCTATTGCGCTATCGTACACAGATATGACAATTTATATTACATTAAAAAGTTTATCTCTCAGAAAAATCAACTTACATGAATCACATTTAAGCGCACCTAGCGACATCTATTGTAAAAAAATGCTTTTCCTTCGCAATAAAGCTGCCACCAGGACGTCTTAGATAGAGACTTGTTATTATAATACGATAAAATAAAATATTACTATGTTTCGTCCAATATATTGAAAGTCAACCACCTTTCCAATTTTATTGTTTTCGTCTTACGAATTTTCGATTAGGTCATGTGTCCTGGACGCGATCAGGCCACGTGTCCTGACGCGAGTTTAACATTTTTTACTCATACCAAAAAGTGTACAAGACCGCTAAAGAAGTTTTCACTTCAAAAATATTTTGGATCTAGATTTTAAAATAAGGTGAGTATATTCATTTTAACCACGAAATACAATTTATATCAAACAGAGACTGTAAGTTTTCACTTATGGTCTCTATTTGATACCTACTCTTTTTGTGTTTCAAAATGTCATTATTCACAAAAGAAAAAACACCCAAATGTTTTTTTTGAGATTTGGTAATGTAGGTTAAGAAACAGTTGGACTGAATGATTTTTTATACATTTTACACATGTTCAATTTTATAGACAATGTTCGTGAAGAGTTATTACAAGAATTTATTGATATTCTAGATTATATATCACTCGAAAGTTTGAGTCTTTATGATAGGATAACAGGAAATCTGATCATAGTCCTACGATCACGCTTTAAAAAACCCAGATGTGAAGACAATAACCTCGTATAAATCTAATTCTGAAAAGTTTTGTATAAGTAACATCCACAGTTAATAAAAACTTTTAGTAGGTAACATGGATGAAGATACTGTAGAAGTGGTTGGAATTACTGAAAATCAGGCAGACATTGGAGGTGGAGAGATAATCGAAAGCAATGAAATTAATGTGACCGATGGAACAGAGGGAAATAAGGCGACTGAAAAAGCAGCAACAGAACATATTGAAGGAGAGCAGTTACAAGAAGAACAAACAGAAGGTGAGCACGTAGAAGGCGAACACGTAGAAGGAGAATACGTTAAAGATGAACAAAGTGACGCAGAGGGCAGAGAAGGCGAACATTCAGAGGGAGATGAAAAAGAAAAAAACATGAGTGAAGGTGAAGAATTAATGGGCGAAGAACAACAAGGTGAACATGTCGAAGTAGAAGAAGTCAAAGTTGAAGAGAAAGAAGAAGAAGTACCTGTTGTCGCAGAAGAGGTTGAAGAAGAAGAGGCTTATGCTGAAGAACCTCCTCCAGACCCTTCTGCTCCTTACGATTTTACCGATTCAAAAGAAGCGCTTAGGGAACCATTCGAGTTGAGACCGGATCAACTTGCAGAAGTGGAACAACTTTGGGAGTTATATCAAAATTACACCCCTGTTTATACAGATATAGATGGATACATAACAGAAAAAGAACTAGTATACATGTTAAAGGCTCTACTCCTTATGACTTATACTCCAGAGCAACTACAAGAGCTTATAGCATTTTGTGTGAGACCACCACATCCTGAAGGGCATATTACTTATGAACAATTTTTGAAAATGGTAATTGTACGTCAAAGAGAATTTCCAATAGAAGATGAGTTACGATCGGCTCTTCAGGTTCTGGATCCTGAAAGAACTGGTAGTATGGATAGAGAACAGTTGAAAGACCTCCTTGCGACTAAAGGTCATAAATTGACAGATAAGCAACTAAATAACCTAATGAAAGAAGTGGATATAAGTAACGATGGCACTATTGGTGTTGAAGATGTTGTGGGTACTATGTGCATAGATTTAAATAAAGAAGACATACAAATGCTGTTAGCTTCACTTAATCCCAATCCGCCAGAAGAACCTCCAGATGATCAATTTTAGCAAATTCTTAATCTTGTACCTATTTGTTTTAAAACAAATTTTACATTACCAATAATTTCATGCATGGTTTCATAGATCAACATCATAAAATTATTATCTGTTGACAAAAGCTAATAAAATAAAATAAACTTTTTCTTGGTATTTCTTTTTCCCGTTCCCGTTACACCTCAATCAAACGGTTATTTTTTCAGGATTCCCTTAGACTGACTTGGGGAAAACGGGACCAAAAATATTTTTTCAAATCGTTTTTCATCATTCATGGAAATATCGGCGAATATTCCCAAAAAAATGCTAACCGCGGAGAATACAACACCTCCTTATTATTTAGAAGTAGGTTAGCAAAGTATCAAAAATGAAATTGTTTATTTTCATTCTATGTTATGCCACTTGTTTGTTTCATATTATTTCATGGCGCAGCGCTGTGAGACGGGCGACACGGGGCACGCTCGATTAGCTGTCTTCTGTGCTCTCGTCTGCGTTCTCTTTTGGCTAGGTAGTATTATCAACAAAAATTATCCGTTATCGACAGTTTACCCGCACAATCGAAATTGTACTAGGCGGCGCTACGAGTGGACCACGGAGCGGATCTGTTTCTGTATAATGAATAAATTCTCAACTGACTATTATAAATATAAAATATAATATTACTTTCAGCGAAGCGAAGCTTTCTTAACAGCGAGTAACCAATAAGAGCATGCCGTGACAGCGGCCGGCGAAGCTCCAGCCACCTGGACACCTGGTAGATAACATCAGTAAACACGGATTTTGAGTGAGTTAAAGAACTCCGACAGATAACCAGAAAGAGGTATAGATATATAGAGGTAGTGGATAAAGGTACCAGATTTTGATTTTTTTTATACCTTATTAATATAAGAAACAATATTTTTATTTAAAAATCTTTGCTTTTGTAGCTATTAGAATGAAATTTCTTTCATAGAAAATTGTTTTTGTTTTCCTTGAGTTGTAATTATCAAGGAAATAAACATTTATTTACTTATTTAAATCGCTTTAATTTACTTAAGACCGTCAAACTAAGTATGTTTACACAAAAAAGATATTAAATATAGGTATTTTTAGCATTTCTTCTAATATTTAGTCTGAAAATTCAGGGAAAAATGTCTTCAGAATGTAGACGTAGAGCCTTAATAAATTGTTTCAATAACCCATTATTTTTATGCAACAGGGACTTTAAATAGCCTTTAACATGTTTCGCAGCTATCTATCAAATCGCAATTAGCAGCCCCATAACCCACTCCTTTGGAGTACCTTAAGGCAGCGTCTTCGATCCGGCTCTCTTCCTGGTGTATATAAACGGCTTATGTTCAAAAGCATTGCAAAATTGCCAAGTCATCACTTATGCTGATGGATGATACAGCTCTGATCATTCACGGGAAAGACTGGGAGGATGCGAGACGATTAGCGGAACATACTCTGAGAGATGTAATACAATAATCTACTCACCTTGAACTTGAGCAAAACTAGCTACATCACCTTCGCTCATTGTGTCTCGAATGTTCCGGGTCCTGAGTTTTCTCTTGTGCCTCATACTTGTGATAGTGATATTTCATGCAAATGTATTCCTCTATTAGACCAGGGTCGATAATTTTAAAAATGGTGAAAAGTGAAAAAAATATAGTAGGTTCATCCTACTGGAAATGGTAGAGAATATAACAAAAGTTAAAGGAAAATAAATTACGGGCGATCTGAGGTCGGGAAGGGGGAGGGGGTGAGTGTTTAAGGGTAAAAACCGGTTAATCTCGATTTCCGGGAAAACTGAAAGTCCTATGAAAAATAAATAAATGGCAAAGTTGTAGGTAATAAAAAGATCTACAACTTTTGTATCGACACTTTTTTCACATAACCTCAAAATTTATGTGAAAAATTCGAATAACCGAGTTTTTGGATTTTTTATTTTTATTTTATGCAAAAAAAATATTTTTTTAACGAAATTTAGTAAACACTTACCTTTGTATGTCCCAAACATACAGCATTTTTTTTTATTTAAAATATTAATTTTTTCACCTTATTTTGACTTAATATCGAAAAAGCACCCTTATTTTCAATCGAATATTCTCACGCCAAAAATTTGCTCCTCTAATTAGTATATAAGAGCAATTGTAACTTTTAAGATAAATAAACCACTATTATTATGTCGGTACGCTATTCAGCCACGGGTCCACGGGGACCCGGTCCTATGAGGCGTTCATGGGGCCAAAGCCAACATAAAGAGGCCTTTTAGTACCTTTTTCTAATAAATGAGATGGCTGCAGCTCATCTATGGAGGTCTATCCCTTACTGTACCATTGAGATGCACTAACGGACAGTGGACTAACATTGGTTTGGGCTATGTGGATGGGATGTTTTTGGACCAGATAATTGGGTTATGGAGTGAGATACGGATATCTACCTAAAAATCTCTCACAACAATTTTAGCCTGGTAGATGGTGACTTGCTACGTGTTGGCTATACAGCCTGTGGGCACCTTAACTAGGCACCAAGATGCGGCCAGGACGCAACACAATGTGAGCAGCTGAGAGTGTCGAGACGTGCGGCTCCGGTTTCACCATCACGGGGCTTACCCCCGAGAGCGGGTTTCCTCTTTATTACGCCATTACGTGCAATAGACTTCCACCCTGGAGCGTATGCTCTGCTCTTGCGACTCCACTCAGGCCGGCCGGTTAAGGCTAGACAGAGGCGGGGGGTGTGTAACTGTGTGTATGTGTGTGTGTGTGTGTGTTAGCGCATGTGTGTATGGTCCCCCTGGAGGTTAGGTACGTGGTGTCGCCACTCACCAAGAGCTCGCCACAAGCTGCCCTGCGTTGACTGGGAATCTAGTGGGCGATGGGGTCGTCATGTCCCGACGCCTTTATTCTTATTATAAAATAAGGATAGGATCCATAACGAATACGAATATTTATTTTTCTGACACTGTACTTAACATGGAAGTTTTGTTTATCCTAATGTGACGCATATAATTTATGCTGACTTCGAATAGGAAGTTGAAATTAAGCTTCATATGCTTAATTAAGTCTTTGAAAACTATATAAAATATTTTTTTACCCTAACTTTAATAAAATCTGTGCAAATCAAGCAAACGGAGTCCACGTAGTCTTTACTCATTTTGGCAGAGATTCTATCCGTGCGGTGACGGATAAAGAATACCACTCACCGCCTCATCACTTCCCGCGGGTGTCGTAAGAAGCGACTAAGGGACATCGGAGCTTTCATCCGCTCTTCTGGTGGATCTCTTCGCTTCCGCCGCGACGAATTCGGTCTAGTGGAGGCATCCGTCGAACCGATGTCGAAAGGACTGCATCGACCCGCCGGCCAGGGAGACCCGTAGAAACGGCTGTCCCGCTGGCCGCCCGTGGCACAGTACAGGGGCCCGAGCGTTCCTAACCAGTTCGCGAGGCTGCCCTATCATGTCACGCATAATCTCGGGGTGGACCGTCGTGCCGGTTGGTGACCGGGGCGTGGGGTCCCGGTGGCCACTCCCGGGGGGGTGCGGAGGCCCTTCCGTCCGGTGGGTCGGCGTATCTCTTTCTTAGGCAGCTACTCGGGAAAACGTGCCTCCACATATTTGCCTGACTTTGTCGCGACTAACTCCACTCATATACATACCGCCGACCATCCCGCGGTGTGAGAGCTCTATGCCGGAGATCCGGTTCACACAAAACTTAGTGCGTAAAGCACTCTTTTCTCTTGTCATCCATAAATCGAGCGGGCCTGATGGAATCTCACCAATTGTGCTAAAGACGTGTGCTCCTGAGTTGGCTCCGGTACTAACGCGTCTTTTTCGGCTCTCCTACTCTTTAGGTGTCGTTCCGAACTCATGGAAGACAGCTTTAGTGCACCCGATTCCTAAAAAAGGCGACCGCTCACTCCCTACTAATTATAAGATAATGGAGTCCATTATAAATTGCCAGCTCCTGCGGTACCTAGAGGACCACCAGCTGATCAGTGACCACCAGTACGGTTTCCGTCAGAGTCGCTCGGCTGGTGATCTACTAGTATACCTGACTCATCGTTGGGCAAAGGCGATCGAGACCAAGGGGGAAGCATTGGCGGTCGGTCTGGATATCGCGAAGGCCTTCGATCGGGTTTGGCACAAAGCGCTTCTTTCGAAGCTTCCTTCTTATGGGCTTCCTGAAAAGCTGTACGTTTGGATCACTAGCTTTCTTGCGGACAGGAGCATCAAGGTCGCAGTCGACGGTGCATGCTCGGACTCCAAATCCGTAAATGCTGGTGTTCCACAAGGCTGTGTGCTATCGCCTACGCTGTTTCTTCTTCATATCAATGATATGCTTCAAATTGATGGCATTCATTGCTATGCAGACGACAGCACGGGTGATGCCTTATATACCGGCCGCGCCAACATTTCACGGGTAAACGTCATCGAGTGCCGGAACAAACTTGTGTCTGAAGTGGAAACTTTGTTAAACCGAGTAACGAATTGGGGCCGACTTAATTTAGTCCAACTTAATCCTACGAAGACACAAGTATGCGCGTTCACCGCAAAAAAAATACCATTTGTCGTATCTCCTCTTTTTGAGAACACTCCTCTAACTGCCTCAGCTAGTATTGGAATTCTTGGCGTTGACATATCGAGCGACGTCCAGTTTCGGGATCATTAAGAGGGCAATTCCGAATTTGCCTCTAAGAAGCTTGGTGTGCTCAATAGATCGAGAATGTACTTCACACCGGCCCACCGACTGCAGCTTTATAAGGCACAGGTTCGGCCTCACATGGAGTACTGCTCTCATCTTTGGGCGGGGGCACCCCAGTACCAGCTTCTCCCTTTGGATCGCATCCAGCACCGAGCGGCTCGAATCGTCGACGACCAGGACCTTTCCGATCAGCTTGATCCTTTGGCTTTGCGTAGGGATGTAGCTTCGCTCTGCATCTTCTATCGCATTTATCACGGGGAGTGTTCTGAGGAATTGTTCGGATTAATTCCAGCTGCTGCATTTCGCCATCGTACATCGCGACAAAAATTTCATCCCCATCATCTTGATGAGAAAAAACTGTGGAATATGTTGTCGCCAGCAGTGTTTCCGGACCAATACGACCCAAGAACCTTCAAATAAAGAGCGTACTCCTTCCTTAAAGGCCGGCATCGCATTTGTGATACT